TGCGTCATTTTTATTTTTAGTGGAAAGGACAGTTTTGATATCGCGCGATCCTTTACTTGCCTGCTGGAATATTTGCTCGACAATTTTTCCAGCCAGCTCGCCGTGAAGAGCCACGTCCATCTGCGACTCGTCGTCGATGCTGTCGGCTGCGAGGAGCAGCGTAATTTCCTTTCTCCGCGCGTCGTCCTCCTCCGACTTCACTGTCTGAAAAATCATCCTTAATTCTTTTCTCTTTTTAATCTTGTCGCACGATCTACAGCGCGATCGCCGATCGTCCTTTTACTCACGCTCTGATCCTCCGCGTTCTCGTAAAGCACTTTTTCGCCCAGTGCCTCGTTTATTCCCGCACGAAGGAACCCTTGCTCGGCTGTTTTGCTCTTCTGAACTCTAGTGTGTCCAGCCAAAGAGGACGCTTCAGACTTGTCTTTTTTCTTCGGCTTCCAGCCGCCTCGATCGGCGTTCTTCGACATATCAGATCGATGCGTATGATGTCTTCTGTTTCTACTCGAAGATGAATGCAAATTACTTTTTTTTCCATGTTTATCCGAGGAATGCTTCTTCCCAGGCTTTTTCTTTTTCCTCGAATTGGTGCTTCGCGTCGTTTTAAAATATGGATCAAGGTCCTGTATATCGTTGTTCCCGTACGGAGTCGCGTGTCCGTCGTATACTCCATCATATCGATCCTCGAGATTATTCGGAAGCTGAAAACTATCACCTAGATTTTCGTCCGCTTCCTCGAAGTCGCGTTGATTGTGATTCATGTCGTCGTAAAAAGCACGATACGAAGGAGCTGTCCTTTTAATCCTCGGTGTTTCATGATTTACATATTTTTGTTCAGCTACTTCGAGATCCTCATCGCTATCCACATTCATCAAAATCGGCTGTTGAGCTTTTTTCATGCTCTGATCAGATGCGCCATGATGAACGTTAAAAATATCGATCAAATCCGTAATCGTATTATTGTGCCAATCTTGCGAAATCGACGAATTGTCGTAAAATATTGGCGGGGAATTACGAAGTTTCGAGCTTACATTAGTCGTACTTGCTACATCTAATTTATTATCTCGCTTTCGAGTTTTAATCGAGTCAGAAATCACCGTTTCGTCTATAGCCTTCAGTCCTCTGCCAAATCTGATCTTCACGTCATCGTCGAAGTCATCGTGCCAATCCAAAGATTCTACGAAGGACTCGTGTAGATCCTGCGAACTAATTGCCGCTTGTTTCTCCGTATTCAGATTTTGCTTCAACACTTTACGTGTCACGGACTCGATGTACTTGCGATTTTCGTATGGAGAACCAGAATCTGTATCGATCACTGGCCGTTCTATCATACTTTCTTTAGAAAACGGGCTATTTTTATCTTCTGCAATCTATACGGATATTACAGCATATTATTGAAATTGCAAAGGCATTATTTGTTTTACAATTATCGATAACTGTACTTTAGATATTTCGGACTCGCTGTCGGAAAGTACATTCGAATTTTCCTCCAAACGGCTTTGCTCAAAACCGCCTTTAAACATGTCATCTGTGACTTTAAGTGCAACATAATTGTTCGTTGGAGTGTTACTCGAACCTATAGTCGACGATAAAAAATTTCATAAAACTATTACGAGTTATTATGTTTAAAAAAATACTGATAAAACTATAACAAACATGAAAAGAATTGCAGAAGAATATTAAAAAGAGAAAAACGTAAATCTACAGCTAAGAAAAGTAATAGTATAATAAAAAATTGAAAGATGAGATAGATTCGATTAAAGTGAGAATAAATAAGAGGTACTTGATGATTGCAATCAATACTTACTCATCCAAGATGCATCGGACGAGTGGAATCTCCTTGATGCGTCGTTGTTTTGATACGAGCCGAAGAATCCATCGTTCAATGGCTGTAATTGAGACGGGTTTGTATCGAGCTTATCATCCGATTCATAACGCAGTCTTTGATCGCCTCTGAGACGCGGCCCGCTCTTTAATTCGCCATCAGGCCAATCGTACACGTTTTTCAACTCCTCGTACAAAGGCTTGACATTATTCGAGTCCTTGCGATCATTATCTTGATCATAATAATCATCTTCTGGTCTGTGAAATATTATCAAACCTAAATAATTTCAATGATCGCAAATACACAGTCTTAATGTATAATCTTGATAAAATTAATTACAGCACAATTTAGGTCATAATAAAAATTAAAATTTTACTAGATAAAAATACGAGTGATTATACCGTTCGTTTTCAGAATCTTCATAAAAGTCCCTAGAGACTTCTAGCTCTTTGTTTCGGTCTAGAATTTTTATAGGCTGAATATCTAGGACAATATTTTCGATAACGTCAGGATTTGCATCTGTACGTTCACTGGATATGTGGCCTAAATGTTCATCCAAACCAACTTTTTTCTTCTGGTTATCTAATGCCGATTCTGAATTCCTTGACGTTGCCATTCTGCTGTCAAACGATCGGCCCAACCTATCGGACGTCTATTTTTTTGGTCATTTACATCAATAACATCGCATTACATGCATTTTCAAGTAAGAATACATCTTTTACTTTGCATTAGTATTTTAAAATTTATTCGTAGAACAAAATATATCTTAAAGTATCTATTATTATATCGGCAACAACTTATAACAAGACATGTTACTAGTTCGCAAAGTAATCCGATTTACCATTTCGATCTCGCGTCTGCTGATTCTTCATGAAAAACATTATTTGCAAGATCTTCGCTTTGATGGATGTTCTCGGAGTTTTCCATCTTAATAAGTGGTCGTCCTTCTTCATTGAATACATCTTCGAAATTTGATCCCGACAAATCGGACAGCTTGTTCCGACTGTTTTTCACAGTCTTATTTCTACGTGCGCCAAGATCGACGATGATTTCTTCTTTTGGCTCCTTGTTCTTTGCTCGCATCTTCTGGCGTTCTTGTTTCATCAACTCTTCGGCATTCTCGTTCTTCTTCTTTCCTAAGCCACACGGTATTTTGTCCTCTGTGCGAGCAAATTATCAAAATATTAATAAAAAGTAGTTTTACTTTATTGTTATATTTTACTTTATTTGTCATGCTTACGTTCTTACCGCGCTTTGCCTTCGTTTTATCGTCGATCGAAAGTTTATCGATCTCGCGCTCGTTTATCGGCGCATCACGCTCTCGCCCTTCGTCGTCCTCATAATCGTAATATTCGATCATGTCCAGCATACGTTTCTTTCTCTTGTAATTGCCGCACTTATTGTTCTTCTCAAGCTTTTCTCTAATCAACATGTCGACTTTAGCTTTCACAGGATCGATCGGCTGCCTGGCTGAAGATCGCTCTCCTTTTTCATTTTCCATTTCCTTATCATTATCTGTGAACGCATTACATCATTTTTACATTTGCATAACTTTTCCTATAAATTGCAAAACCATCAAATTAACGTTGTACCTTCTACTGCATCTTCTTCTCCGTCATTATAATCCCCCTTAAGCTCTTCGACATTCTGATTTCGATATTCTTCATTATTTTCGTGTTTCTCGTCTTGATTTATCGCCGCTTCTTTCTCGGCTGCTACATTTTCGGAGTCCACTTCATTATCGAGTTCAGGATTTTTGAAGGAATGCGCAGCTCTTTTATAGCGAGCGTGAAGACTTGTGTCGGCAGTCTCAATATTTGAAGCATTTTGCAATGCAGAACTTTCCTTAGCGCCATTTTCACGTTTGACTCTGATTAATATTTTACTGAACTTCGGAGAATTAGCAATAATGTTACCTCGCTGTCGATCATTCTCTTGTATGACGTTTTCAATGCGATCCTCACTCGTGGTATTACGACCTGATTTCGCGTTCTCTATCGATGCATCTTCAGTTTCGGCGTCGACAGAAATCCATAATAATTTCCTCCGTAAATTATTACCGGACTCGGGATACTCGTGAGCTCCCATTGTAGTTCGAGTGCCTCCCTTTACATTCATAGTCTCATTTCCGTTTGACTCGAGAGCAGGAATATCGATTCCATCGGTATCCGAATTTCCATTCGATTTATTTGCTTTCCTATTCCCGGCGCTAAGAGGCGGAACCATCTGTTGCTGCTTTCGCAAATTGTTGTCCGCAATCGTCGAGGCGAGCTCCTCGCGTTGATCTTTCGATATTACGGATTCACCGAGCTCAGTGTTTATACTTGCAGCTTGCGGTCCCGCTGTCGCATCCGTGACAGGATCAATCGACTTCGGACTCGAAGAGTCTCCTCCCGCATTTGCATTTCTTGATTCGTCAACGTCGTTCGTCTTCATTTTCGCCGCGGACACTCCGTCTCCCTCCATTCGCCAGGACAATCTCGCCACTGTCTCTGCCTTCTGCTTTTGATACGGATGCTTCCGACGCTCAAAGACCTTGATCACGCTGGGTATCGGCTCGCCGTTCTCCTTTTGCGTCTCGTTCGCCTCGATCTCTCCCACTCCTCCTCCTCTTCGTTTGCTCGCGGTTGTTTCGACGACGCAGCTCCGCGATTCATTTGCCACCGTGCCGAAACCGCGCGACGTATTTCCCCGGGGAAACTTCTCTCCCGCACCCTTCGATTGTCCATCATCCGCGTCGTGTCGCGATATTTTCCGTGCCGCGATTCCTAATTTTTCATCGTCGCTTCGGTTTATCACGGATTTCTCACAGTCGCCAATTGTACCGTTAATTGTCGAATCTGCGGACACGTTCGATGCTAGAAGATTCTTTCCAGAACTGGACAAATTAGTGTAAATCTTTGCTGTATAGTGAGTGCTTTTTGATACTGTTTCAATTGTAGGACTTTGATTGATTTCCTTCGAGCTCGTGCTTGAAACTTTATTTATGGTTGTATATTCTAATGAATGAGTTTGAAGATCACTTCGCGCGAGAAGCAGTGATCCGTTGTCGGTGAAATGATCACTCAAGTAAGACTTTGTGTTTAAAGGATATTTCAATCCAGAAATATTTGTTTCATCATCCATTAATGGAATAATCGTTAAGTTAATGAAATAATTATTTGAGGAAAAGTTTCCTTTTAAAAAATACTGCGACTCGGAAATGTCTATTTTATTTGAAGCATTCGTCGAATTTCTTTTATCGCCATCGAGATAAGTGGAATTTAATTTTAAAACGAGATCATCGGATTTCTGTATCCTGATTATGTTCCCAAGGGTGTCTTTTATCATCTGAGATGTCCGACTTTTATTTTCAGGAATATTAGTCTGATTATTCAAGTAACTTAAATCTGCGACGAAACTCCGCCTTCTACGTTTACTGCGATCGTGCGATTCTTTCGAATTTTCTGCTCTTTGATAAATGCTTCTTGCGGTTTCATCTTTATCGTCTAAATTTTTATCTCTCCTTATCCTCCACATTATTTCTTCATCCGGATAGTTATCAAGATCACGTTTCTCAAAATCGAATATTTCGGCTGCCAATCTCGGATCGCTCCACCACTTGGATTCTCCTAAAGAAATCGATCGTAACGATGTAATAAAAGTAATAATAATATCAAAAGTAATGACGACTATCACCTTTCGAGAGCACATTTTCTCTCTTATCGTCGAATATTAAACTATTTCTTAATTCTAGAATGGTCTTCCTTAAAGATTCCAGCGATAATGGTGTATCCTGGGATTTTCCTGACATTCTTGCAACTGCAGCCGGGGATTCTCGCAAAGCGGTGAGATCATTTGCGTGCATTGGATCAAACAACAATTGATCCCGCGTATCAGCGTCGACGTGCGACTTCTCTTCATCTTTAATCAAGTGTACGAGATTATTCTTTATTTACTGTGTTTGAAATTAGGCTAATGATTTTAATGGCTGAGTCGTTTCAATAATACCAGAATTAACGAGAATTTCACGAGCAGGTTTGTAATCACGAAGCCATGCACCCTCGCCGTTAGTCACTTCGAGATTCTCATTAGAATTCGGCCAGTGACCCGAGAAATGGAGATCCTTCTTTCGGGTCCAATCTTTCAGTGGCTGATCGGCCATCGTTCCTCTTTCGTAGACGGGTCTATCTAACCTACGCTCAAGAGTGGAATAAATTTTTCTCTCTCTTTCACGAAAACCATGTATTATTTTTAAGAAATTTGTTAGATAAGTTCAGAGAGAAAAAATGGTGTAATATGGTCAGATATAAATATATATAATTAGTTATGAAAAGATCTAACAAAATAATTTTATATGATCATATAAAATTCAGATCTTTTCATAACTAATTGTATATATTTACATCTGATCAATTATACCATTTTTCTCGGGTTATAAAAAATTTCATCGATTGGTTTAAGTTTCTAATTCAGAAACTTCAAATTATAAATTTTATTAATTTAAGAAACATTGTTTTAATATATATATATATTTATTATTAATACTCAAAATGTTATTTTATTAATTTGTATTGTAGAAATTTATAAAAAACACTAATTTTCTTAATGTATCGCAAATTTAATAACAATAAATTTAATTTCGTAATACGTTAATATTGTTTCATTGCTCACATGTCAGGAGATTGATAAAGAGCAAAATCAGCGCTATCAGCGTCTCTTTTAAACGTCACGTCGTTATCAAGATAGATTCTCTGAGGAACACTGCGAATATTCTCCCCTGCGTATTTCTTCTTCTGCAGCGTCCACATCGTTTCATAATTCCGATCGAAGCCTCTTTTGCCGCGTAACCTACTTTCATAACCGATATCAGCCCGTCCTAGAACATCCTCCATGTTGACGGACACCGTGGAGTGCTGGTTTGTATGCGTGAGCAAACTGTATCGGAAATATTCCTATTAAATCGCTGAAGAGAAATCGGCTCAGTTCTAAATCGCTGTCGAATGAAAATATTAATCGATTGTTGCGAATATTTTTCTCGAAGTAAACACCTCTTAAGCTTAGCAATTAAAATTTTAATTAGAAGCTCAATAGTAGTTTATGGAATTTATAATTTATTATACTTTATTCGCATTCCATTTTTTTCCAACTTCTTAAAGAAATTCTTCTTAAAGCAATTTCAAGCTCTTACTTATCTAGCCGAGCTCTATGATTGAAACGGCGCGCGGCGTGATCCATCCACTTCAAATCGTTCTGTGCTTTCAGAACGTCATCCAGAAATCTATTTAGAGCGACGCTATTTTTCTCTCCACTGATCACCGCGGATTCGCTCGCGGAATAATTTCGACCGACCTGTATTCGAATATCAATCGTACAGTTCGATACACCTCTATCGTCGATTCTCTTGCACGCTTTTAAATATTAGTATATTCACGGAATTTTAAAAAGTGAGAAAATTAACACTTGTGCGGGCGCCTCGAATGTATAGTCTCAGGCTGCAAAGGGGTTTCAGAGGCGCAGCGGCATTCCTGCCGCGAAGACAGCGGAATGTCCTGTCGCTGACAATCTCTTTCTGCCATCCCCGCCGGCACGTTAGCGCGTTATAATAATACCGGCCCGGGCGTTCCGTAACGCATCTCGTACGTACTATTTCGCATCGTCCTTTTTCCGACGGCGCGCGCGCGCGCGACCAAGACAATGGGATTCTACAT